CTGCTAGTCTACGCTAGTTTGATGCGTTTGTAGCACTGACTGCCCAAGAACTCCAGTGGATTCTGAAATGACAGCTACTATGGAGCTCTGTCTACACTGTTACTGTCCATTCGTGCCCATGGCTAGAGATTTATAAATGAGGCGCAATATAGGATCAGTAACAAAGTGAAATAATCATAGGCACACTGTCATAGAAGAAGTTATCCTAAAGGCCTACAGCCTTCACAGACAGGGACAGACCTGCTGTAGAGCCCATAACTTGGAAATAGCGTTCCAGTAGTGAATTTTAAAAGGAAGGGAAGACTATACATAATGCGGACAATGGAAAGAATGCTTCTCCTATCTTACCATTTTATAAATGCGTATGTCTCTCTCTCTATACACTTACATTTATGATGCATCACAGTCCTTGCTTGGGCAAAGATAAATCCTCACCCCTGAGGCCAGGCTCCCGCAAGGATGCCCAAGAGGCTCCCTACGGGCCGGGTGGCCCAGATCTCCTAGTACAGCATTCAGTGTCTACATTTGTGTCTCTTTTAAAATCTTGGGCAATGACAGGTCTCTTCTCATAGCTTAGACATGACTTGAAAGACAGAAAACATGTCTGTGTTGTTCCCAGGGCACCGAGGACAGTGCTCAGTGCATGCGGTTGTGTTCCTGAGTACAAGTGAGGTCAATCAGATGGACGCTGGGAGAGCCTGCCCCTCGCCCTCCTCTCCCAGCCAGCCTGCCCCCGCAGACACCGCAGGATGCCTCACAGTCTCCTGACACCTTCCTTTGGCCCAACGAGAGGCTCTTGTGGCCGTTTCCAAGTATAAACACTCTGTTTCTTTCTGATACTCACTGTGGTCTGGTCTTGCTGAGTTCAATTCCCATCCAGTAGAAACCTGGCTATATTCTGTTCCTTGCCCATCACTTCCACATCCAGTGTTCACAGCGAGTTCCTGGCTTTCCCGGGGCTCTGGCATCTCAAGGATTTCTGTAGGACACTGTAGGAGATGAAATTCTTCTCTGAGCTGGGAGAGTGAAGAGGTGCTATTTCAGAGCAGATGTCAGCAGAGCCTTCTCTCCGTGCTGGGCGTCAGCAGCAGCGTGCCCCACGCCGGCCAGGAAGAGTGGCTGAGCAGGGCTCCAGAGCGGAGGCCGCCAGCCGGCCTCCTGGGGCTCTCTTGGCTGCAGGCAACTGAGCTTCGATGGGCCCGTGGCCTTGGCTCATCTTTCGGGTGTGTGGAGGTGTGAGTTCAAACTGGTTTGGAGTTTAATGAAGGGCGGGGGCTGGCGCAGGCCGGACGGCCCGCGCTCCATGCACACAGCACAGCTGTGCTTGTCCACGCCGCCCCGCTGCCCGTCCTCCTGCCCCTGCCAGACGCTGCTCTGTGTGCTGTTAAGGAGCCACGACCGTACTCTCCAGTTCAAACAGACCAGACAGGGACCACATACGAAGGTGAGGAGACACACTGCCAGCCACTCTCCTCGTTTGACGGTCACTGCCCAGCTGTGTACGTACCCGTCAGGTCGGCCGGGTCGCTGCCCAGCTGTGCACGTAACCGTCAGGTCAGCCGGGTCGCTGCCCAGCTGTGTACGTACCCGTCAGGTCGGCCGGGTCGCTGCCCAGCTGTGCACGTAACCGTCAGGTCGGCCGGGTCGCTGCCCAGCTGTGTACGTAACCGTCAGGTCGGCCGGGTCGCTGCCCAGCTGTGCACGTACCCGTCAGGTCGGCCGGGTCGCTGCCCAGCTGTGCACGTACCCGTCAGGTCGGCCGGGTCGCTGCCCAGCTGTGTACACACCCGTCAGGTCAGCCGGGTCGCTGCCCAGCTGTGTGCACATACCCGTCAGATCGGCCAGGTCGCTGCCCAGCTGTGTACGTAACCATCAGGTCGGCCGGGTCGCTGCCCAGCTTTGCACGTAACCATCAGGTCGGCCGGGTCGCTGCCCAGCTGTGCACACGTACCCGTCAGATCGGCCGGGTCGCTGCCCAGCTGTGCACACGTACCCGTCAGATCGGCCGGGTCGCTGCCCAGCTGTGCACACACCCATCAGGTCGGCCGGGTCGCTGCCCAGCTGTGTACATACCCGTCAGATCGGCCGGGTCGCTGCCCAGCTGTGCACACACATACCCATCAGGTCGGCCGGGTCGCTGCCCAGCTGTGCACATACCCGTCAGATTGGCCTTCCTCGGGATTGGAAAGCCTGGAGAGAGGAAGAGCTACTATTGTGGAGTGCCACGGCAGTCCACCATCCAGGGGACCAATACGATGGCCAAAATAAGGAGAGTGCCAGCCCTTTCTCCCACCACACCGGACGCGGGGAGGGCAGCGCGGGTCTGGGCGTGGGTCTGGGCGCTGGGGGACAGTGCGGGTCTGGGCGCTGGGGGACAGTGCGGGTCTGGGTGCTGGGGGACAGTGCGGGTCTGGGCGCGGGTCTGGGCGCGGGGGAGGACAGCGCGGGTCTGGGCGCTGGGGGACAGTGCGGGTCTGGGCGCGGGTCTGGGTGCGGGGAGGACAGCGCGGGTCTGGGTGCTGGGGGACAGTGCGGGTCTGGGCGCGGGTCTGGGCGCTGGGGGACAGTGCGGGTCTGGGCGCGGGTCTGGGCGCTGGGGGACAGTGCGGATCTGGGCGCGGGTCTGGGCGCTGGGGGACAGTGTGGGTCTGGGCGCTGGGGGACAGTGCGGGTCTGGGCGCGGGGAGGACAGCGCGGGTCTGGGCGCTGGGGGACAGTGCGGGTCTGGGCGCTGGGGGACAGTGCGGGTCTGGGCGCTGGGGGACAGTGCGGGTCTGGGCGCTGGGGGACAGTGTGGGTCTGGGCGCTGGGGGACAGTGCGGGTCTGGGCGTGGGTCTGGGCGCGGGGAGGACAGCACAGGTCTGGGCATGGGTCTGGGCGCTGGGGGACAGTGCGGGTCTGGACGCAGGTCTGGACGTGGGGAGGCCAGCATGCGGGTCTGGGCGTGGTCACACGCAGGGCAGGCCTCTTACACATGCAGCTGCAAAGGCTTCTGTCTTCAAGGGAACACGCCTGCTTTCCTGTGAACGTTCACATGGTGCAGAAATGACTGATGAGTCCAGAGCCAGCCTCAGCTGCGGGTGCTCCCCAGTGGACAGTCTCCACACCAGGCGCGGTGACGGAGGAGGAGACCCTGGCTTCCAGGACGTCTGCTGGCTGAGAGTGATGGGCATGGATGCACCTCCCGAGGTGGTTCCATGCCTGGGGCGTCTGCGCGGGACGGTGTGTGTTTACGGCAGAGGCTCCTCAGAGACATGCTCATCCTGTATCCGTGTGCTCCTGGAACGATGCCACCTGCGTCCTGAAAGCGCTTCCTGTGTACGAGGCCCTGCCCCGCACCACCAAGTCTTACACACAGGAGACAGCAGACCTTGTGAATAAGAAAGAGGAACACAAAAGAAGCCGTGTCCTCCTTGTGGTCTTTGGATAAGTTGTTTTCATAACATGAATTGTAGGACAGTCCTGTACAGCAAGAATTCTAGAGCCGTTGACTATAAGAGACCTCGAGTAGAAAGTATTTAAATAGAAACCCACTCACTGAAGACCTTCGTAGAAAAGTACTTGAAAATGTAAGCTGCTGATTGCTTGTTCCTGGATTAATACTTCAATAAAGAGCTTTAATAACGTAAAATTGTAGGAAGGTCCAAAACCCACAGTAAGGCGGGACCTCTCTTAATTTTGAGGACATTGAATTTCAGAGGCGTTGAAATACGTACACATACTTGGACATAAAAGGGAATTTAAAGATAACTAATTCTTTATCTTTGTTTTTAAATGAAAACACTTGTCAGAAAGCTATCTGAGTCTTTGTAACAGGCCAGCTTTAAATCCAAGCTCCGTGGAGACAGCGCTACCTGCCTGGAAGTTTGAGATAGCTGTCAGAGACGCTGGCCTGCGTCTCTCCTCCCTGTTACTCTCGTGGTGTTAGTGTTCTGCCGAAGGATTGGTATTCAAGATGACCACATGCTGTATTCCCAAAGAAGACTGCACAGCAGGGCACTGGACTGTAAATTCCTGAGGAGAAAAGATTTTGTTCCTTTGTGCCTTCCTCAGTATCTAGCATTTACATAAATACACTTATAATTAGCAGCGATAGGGCACTCTAGCTGTGAGAAAAATCTTTCCTGTTTTCATTAGTAGCGGGAGCACTGTATCTTTAGGGGCATGACTTCTGGAGACAGGCTACCTAGATACGAGTCTCAATTGGCCAGATATAATACCTGGAGGCAGGCGGCCTAAATTCTCTGGGTCTTGGTATCCTTGGATAAAAACTAGAACATGAAGAGGCACTGTCTCATTGGGTGCATCTAAGAAGTAAGTTAATATATGTAAAGAGAAAGTCCTCTGCGAACTGTTACTAGTCCAGTCTTTCTTGCACTGTTGAGAACTGTTCTAGAACAGGCCAAAGTGTCATAGTGCTAACCAACTACTGCTGATCCTAACGGGTTATTACAGGGATTGGCAGTTCTTATCTGGAAATGTCTTTGTTCAGAGCTTTTAACCTTCTCTGCTGCCTCTTTTTACACGGATGTCCAGGTCCTTATCAGATAAGCAGATTCCCTGCTTGATCACTGTAGTCTAGAGCCCATCCTGGTCTGGACACTGCTCTTCACAGTAATTATGAATGAGATCCAGTAGTGGTCTTCTTTGGGCCCACTGTACCACAGCTGCTGCTGAGTCTCCCCTCCCTTGTCCCGTAGATCCAGGTCCAGATGAACCTGTCTTTCCCCATCCCTCAGACACAAGCGCACCCGAGCCAGCCTGCACTCGAGTTGCTGCACACTTTCCTGGTTACGTGTTCCCTCAGCCTTGAGGCTGGCCTCTTCCCATCCTTCAGAATCCAGCGTAAACCCTGTCTCATCACGAACAAAAGAAAGCCGTCTTTTTGCATGCGAATTCATGTGTCCAGTGTCGTTTTGGGTCATGCCTTTGAAATGCTGTGCCTGACTGCTCCCTGGCTGGAGTAAGCAGGCCTCCTCACTCTGTTTTGTTTCCGCAGTACATTCCGCCAGATCTCTGCGTCTGCAGTTTCGTGCTGGAGCAGTCCCTGTCCGTCAGAGCCCTGCAGGAGATGCTAGCCAGCACAGGGGAAGATGGCGGTGAAGGGGTGAGTCCCTGCATGGCACTGTGGGTTTGAAACGGGGCGCAGCACACATCCGAAGCACAGTCTGCATTTCATCCCTCCACTCTGGACCAGGGAAGCCTTAGGATCTTTGAGGCAATCATATAGAGGTAGTAAATCTTCTTCCTGAATTTGGGTCCTCTTTTTTTTCTGGGGGGGGGGTGTGGGTCCATCGTGGGTCTTGAACTCTGGGCCTGGGCACTGTCCCTCAGCTCTTCAGCTCAAGGCGAGCGCTCTACCACTTGAGCCACAGCGCCACTTCTGGTTTTCTGGTGGTTAATTGGAGATAAGAGTCTCAGACTTTCCTGCCCTGACTTGCTTTGAACCGCGATCCTCAGATCTCAGCCTCCTAAGTAGGTAGGATGACAGGCGTGAGCCACCGGCGCCCGGCTGAACTTGGTTCCGCTTAGCCACACTGACCCCGCTCCTTTGGAATGGCAGCTTCCCCTGGAATATAGAAAAGCCCATCACTAACACTGCCTGTGTAGAGGGCACTGACCTCTGTCCTCTTTTAGCCCCAATCCGTGAAGGAGCACAGAGAGGCTGAGTACCTGAGCCTGAAGCATGGCGTTATGACTCACAGCAGGCAGACAGGAGCTCCTGTACAGGCTTTGACCCCTCCCCAGGTCAGCAGCTTCACCGAGGATGAGCAAACACAGAGCCGCGTGTGAGTGCGTGCGCGCCATCTCCCGGTTCAGAAGGTCCTGCAGAAGGACCTTGTCCAGATAGTTCAGAGTGGCCTTGATTCTTCTCTTCCCTAGTGGCCCGCACTCCTATCTGTTACATCACAGAACGCGGCAGGTCCATTTCTTCTTCGCTTCCCTCACATCTCCATCAGCCGTCTGTCCCCTCTCGGATAATGCGGCCACCGTCCCTGCTCTGCCTTCCTCTGCATTAACCCTCCCCATCTCAGAGTGCAGATCCAAGCGCTACGCTCCCCTTTCTCCCCTTGCCCTGGAGAAGAATTGCAAGCCCTGCGCACTTCCCTGTGGCTAAGCACACCCGCCAAGCTCTCCATGACCCCACACTCAATTCCTCTCCCTGGAACACTCTAGGGGTGTTGTTTTTGCCTTTGATCCTGTCTATTAGCTGTTTCTTCCTCTTCCTCCTCCTCCTCCTCCTCCTCCTCCTCCTCTCCTCCTCCTCCTCCTCCTCCTCCTCCTCCTCCCCTCCTCCTCCCCTCCTCCTCCTCCCCTCCTCCTCCTCTTCCTCCTCCTCCCCTCCTCCTCCTCCTCCTCCTCCTCCTCCTCATCCTCTTCCTCCTCCTCTTCCTCCTCCTCCTCCTCTTCCTCCTCCTCCCCTCCTCCTCCTCCTCCTCCTCCTCCTCTTCTCCTCCTCTTCCTCCTCCTCCTCCTCTTCCTCCTCCTCCTCCTCCTCCTCTTCCTCCTCCTCCTCCTCCTCTTCCTCCTCCTCTTCCTCTTCCTCCTCCTCTTCCTCTTCCTCCTCCTCTTCCTCCTCCCCTCCTCCTCCCCTCCTCCTCCCCTCCTCCTCCCCTCCTCCTCCTCCTCCCCCTTCTCCTCCCCCTCCTCCTCCTCCTCCTCCTCCTCTTCCTCCTCCTCCTCATCCTCTTCCTCCTCCTCCTCCTCCTCTTCCTCCTCTTCCTCCTCCCCCTCCTCCCCCTCCCCCTCCCCCTCCCCCCTCCTCCTCTTCCTCCTCCTCCCCCTCCTCCTCCTCCTCCCCCTCCTCCTCCTCCTTCTCTTCCTCCTCCTCCTCCTCCCCCTCCTCCTCCTCCCCCTCCTCCTCCTCTTCCTCCTCCTCTTCCTCCTCCTCCTCCTCCTCTTCCTCCTCCTCTTCCTCCTCCTCCTCCTCCCCCTCCTCCTCCTCCTCCCCCTCCTCCTCCTCCTCCCCTCCTCCTCCTCCTCCCCCTCCTCCCCCTCCTCCCCCTCCTCCTCCTCCTCCTCCTCCCCCTCCTCCTCCTCCTCTTCCTCCTCCTCCCCCTCCTCCTCCTCTTCCTCCTCCTCTTCCTCCTCCTCTTCCTCTTCCTCTTCCTCCTCCTCCCCTCCTCCTCCTCCTCCCCTCCTCCTCCCCCTCCTCCTCCTCCTCCCCTCTTCTTCCTCCTCCTCCTCCCCTCCTCCTCCCCTCCTCCTCCCCTCCTCCCCTCCTCCTCCCCCTCCCCCTCCTCCTCCCCTCCTCCTCCTCCTCCCCTTTTCCTCCTCCCCTTCCTCCTCCTCCTCCTCCCCTCTTCCTCCTCCTCCTCTTCCTCCTCCTCCCCTCCTCCTCCCCTCCTCCTCCCCTCCTCCTCCTCCTCCCCCTTCTCCTCCCCCTCCTCCTCCTCCTCCTCCTCCTCCTCTTCCTCCTCCTATCCCTCCTCACCCTTCAAGGAACCAGTTTAGATATTAGACAGCTGAGAAGACCCCCGCCTGCCCTGCCTGTGTTGCCTTGGAGCAGACCGGTCCCTCCCCACCCTGTTCCCGTGGCCCTGCAGCAATGGCCAGTTTTACTTCCCATCTTCTGCCCTGGAGCGTGTGGAGCCCGGGTGGCGAGCTCCTTGCACGGCACAGTTCATTGTACCTGACTGAAGTCATGCACAGTCCACACGAGTCTTGCTTGTGGTCTTAGAAGAGACCGTGACATTAGAATCAGTAGGATCCACGTTTACATCTTGGTCAATTCTTCTAATCCCTTGGGGCCATCACGTTATAAAATTAGAATGTTTAATTAGATCTCCAGGATCTTAAATACCAAAGGTTTGTAGTTCTTTATTCTTGATGGAGAGCAATGAGCCGTATCAGTCAGCCTCCTAGGGAGAACTGCTCCTTAGAGCGTTGATTCGGGTGAGGTTATTGCTCATTTGTTGTCCACCTCAACTAGGTCCATGTCCCCTTCTCTGCACTGACCTGGCTATCCCATGTTTTCCATGTGTCCTTAAGCATTTCTAGCTTAGTGAAACAAAAATTTAAGTTGCTCACCATTTACCCAGACTCCTCATAAACAGAAAACGTGGGGAGATCTGGCTGACTGAAAACAGCACCCCTTTCAGTGCCAAATGGGAGCTGCTAGACCCGGCTCCTTACAGCCCCTCACAGACACAATGGAAGGAAGCTAGAGATGCTAGTTCACTGGATGCTCTCTGCCGTGCCCAACAAGTGCATTGCACAAGCCTCCGTCACTTGTTTGCTGGTTTGGAGGTGAGAAAGTAAACTTCTTTGTTGCAAAGAACTTAACAGTCTTAAATAATAACTTGGCTTGCAGTAAAGAGGAATAAGCAATCGCTTTTTAAATAGAATGCTAGACTAACTTAATGATATTTACCTCTCAGTTTTAGCCCATTTAAACCAGCCCTACGTTAGCCACCAGCCATCTTATAGCACACATTCAACGTGACTGTATTTTTCAAGGGGCAACTATACAATACTGAGATACTAATACATTAAACCTTAATTGGGAAAATGTTTTTGAAGACTCAAACCCAAAATAAATGATATATAACATTTTTACTGAATAATAATGAATACCATGTAAAATCAAACTCTGAAATTTCCTGTGTATTGTATTACCTTTCTGTGCTGTTTTACCAAAGAAAAACCTGGCCCAATAGTTACAATTTTGACACACTTACTATTATTACTCACTGGAGATCTTAGCATAGAAGGAGGACTTGAGAGGAAAGACACGGAGCGTAGATGATTATTGGACCCTCAAATTTGTTATTACTTGGTTATTCATAGCCCTGCAAAGCAGTTGCCTGGACAAGAGTTTGCAGCACTAGAACCCTCTTGGAATTGTGGAATCCTCTCACTGTCCGTCTGGACTCTCAGTTTTAGTGTGAGAAATGCTGTTTTTGTATAACCTCTAAGGCTGATTGTTTTTGCTTTTCTGAAGTGACCAGTTTGCATATTTACTGGTCCTACTTAATTCTGGATGTCTATATTCAGCAGAGAAGAAAAAGGAAAAATAAAGGAGGCAGCCAGTTAATGACAGACCTAACGGTTCTCCAGAGAACCTGGGGTCTGTGAGCAGAATGCTGCCCACCTGACATGCCGTACCATTCTGCTTGGCAATAGCCATTTGCTGCTTTTAAATAAGTATTACTTTGTCTTGCTGATTGTGACTGTAACCAAATGAGATGCTTTGAAGAGTATAATCTCTTTCCTTCTAGTCATAAATGAGCCCTTGTGTGCTGTTTCCGTTCACTTCTGTTTTGCAACTAGATTTTTTTTTAATGACTTCAGTTGTTTGTGGGCTCGTGTGATGAGTGGACGGTCTTTTTACAGGATTTTACTATTCTGCAGCAATTTCTCTTGCCAGCAGAGAAAACAAAGGTATCTAGCCAAGTTTAACAGCAGAGAGGTTTCTCTTTAATGATTATTGAAATGCCCTTAGCTTCAGCCCGGGGCTCCTGGGAAGTAGATTTCCACGGAAGGGGGAGGAAAGTGGGAGACTGGCCCCAGGGCAGGGGGCTCAGCGCCGGGAGCCTACGCCAGCTGAACCCCGTCTACTCACGTCCAGTTACCAGGAGGGGTGCTGCAACTGTGGCCAATTTTATGGTTGGGGTTGGTAGTGAAACGCTTACACCTAAAAATGGAAGTATTTCTGCATTTTTGGTTGGCTGGGTCTATGCTATAAATGTACGTGAGTCTTTGGCATGTTGGAGGGCCAGAGGGATGCCACCCTTCCCCCTTCAGGCCTCACGCTCCATAGCGCCATTAGAGCAAGTAGCATTCATACCGAGAACAGCTCTCCTGGGAGTCAGGAAGACATTCTGGTGCAGCCGGTGCTGGGCCAGGTGACCGCTAGGACAAGTCATTTCTCCTTTCTGCACCTCTGCTTCCGCATCTTCTAAATTCATGACAGTTGCCTGAGCTCCTGGCATATTCCGTGTTCGCCTCCGGTCCACGGCTGCCATCGCAGCCCTCAGGGACCCCACTGAGCCTCACAGGAAGCAGGGCTTCTTGTTCGTGACCAGGTGCCTCTGAGGCTTAGAGCCATGCGGCTCCAAATGGATCTGACATGAGCTAGCATCACACTTCTAGAACAAAAGACCT